CGCATCTGACGGCAACATCAGCGCATTCAGCACTATGTCACAAACGCATCCCATTATGCCGAGATTTATTTCTGAGAAACTCTCAATCCCCTCTTAAACTCAATCTAAACTAGGCCAGAAAGGCTGTTTGGTTTTAAAAACGATACTTATATCTATTGTGTCCACAGAAACTCTAGGAATGGAAATGGTAAAACAGATCAATATGTTTCAATTGAGGAAACGTACAACTCAGAGCTTGGGCTTCAGTGTGGCCGTTGCTCATTTCTCATTCGTATGTTGGAGCACAGGGGATGTTTGAGAAAGGAGTAAAGACAAAGTGAGCAGACTGATGACAAAATTGATCCTCTCACAGATGGTGGCCTTTAGTCTTCCAGGTAATTTAATAAATGGACAAAGCCGGACGAGGGTAAACCTCAATTAAATCAGCATATTCAATCAATACTATCGGATGTTTGTTGTTGTTAGTGAAAGGGACATTTATTTCATGTGTCTTCACACATTTATAATTTTATGTAGATAAAAGAATAACTGCTGTGGGTTTGCCAAATCGGTCAACTTTGACATAAAAAGGCTAGAGTTCTGCTAAGGACAGGACTTTAAATGAATTAGCCTCTTATTAGCAAGGCATGCTGGGAGATGCATGGCGACACTGGAGCCTTGTGTGTAACAGCCACACACCTTAAATCTCTGAGGTCCCTGCTTGAATTCCCTTTGAAAAATTACAAGAACAATACTGCCTACAGTGAACGCTTTTGTTCAGCTAAAGACATATTTGACTTCTACACTATGACCAGGACCATTTTACTTAAAGGAAATATGACCAGAATCAAATTATGCTTGAAAATATTCTTCTGAGAACATGCTTCAGATTTGAACTCTGATTTGAACTTCTTCCCCAGTGAATAAAGACCACTTATGATAATAAAGCTGCAAAAACAGATTCAGAACTGTTCAGAACTTCTGCAACTGTTTAAGTCAGACAGATGAATACATTAAACACATGACAAATGCCCACATTTACATGTCAACTAAGTCTGCTTGGTGATCAGACACTTGGGTTGGCCAGATAGAGTGAGGTAATGAGGAAAAAAGAAACCGTTCTTGGCTGTGTAGCCCCTACAGCTCTGCACATCCTTATAATGGATCACAATTTTAGAAACTGGCAGATTCTGATAGCAAATCAGAATATATTACAACTGCTATAAGCAGTAGCCCATGTGAGCACAAAGATTTAAATTTCATTTCACACATAAAGGAGGAGTTTACATTAGGGGTCGACTGATATGTGTTTTTCAAGCCTGATGCCGATACCGATTATTACAGATCAAGTAGACCGATA